AACTATGCCCGAAGTGACTGCTTCAAACCATACAAAGCTTTCTTTAACCAACATACACTCTTACCGTACTCCCCCCAAGTAGTAAACCCAGGTGGCTGCTCAATGTATACCCCTTCAACTAAGTCACCATGTAGGATGGCATTTTTGACATCTAACTAAAACAAAAGTCAATCAAGATTTAGCAGCCAAATAAATCAAGATACAAACATAAGAGATTTTGGTAACAAGAGAGAAAGTCTCCTCATAATCAACACCATAGGTCTGAGTAAAACCGTTTCCAACAAAACGAGCTTTAAGACGCTTCATAGAGCCATATGGATTAAAATTAATAATATACACTCAACGACAACTAATAGTTCATTTAACAGGAGGTAAAGGAACAAGATCTCAAGTCCTATTATGATGTAAGGCATCCATCTCTTTCTCCATAACTTTCCCCTAACCCGAATCAGACAACTTATCTTTTAAGTGCTTAGGGATATAGATAGTAGATAATTGAGAGAAGAGATAGTGGTACAAGAGATGATCCAAAGGCTGAGCAAGTGCTAGAAAATATGGAACAGATTCGTCAAATGTGACATCAGCACGAATAAAGTATTGTCGAAGGGAATGACTATAACAACGAGACCACTTATGTGTACGGGAGTATCCAAGAAATACACATTTGATTGTCCGAGGGTCAAGTTTATCAAACCCGGGGCCCAAGTTATGAACATAACAGACACACCTAAAAACCTTAAGAGGTAAGAAAAATAAGGGCTTACCAAAGAAAATGACAGAATATAGATTTTACCTATTTATCACAAAGGATGACATATGATTAATAAGATGACAAGCAGTAAGAATAGCATCACTCCAAAAATATCGAAAAACATTCATCTAGAATAATAGGGCACGGGTGACTTCCAACAAATGATGGTTCTTGCATCAACACCACCATTCTGTGGAGAGGTGCAAGCATAGGAAGTCTGATAAATAATGTCCGTTTTACTAAGATAAGTTGAAAAGGATCAGAATCATATTCTCAAGCATTATCAAAACGTAAAATATGAATATGACAACTATATCGAGTTTTTATTTCCTTACGAAAGGTCTCAAATATAGAGAATAATTCAAAACAAACTGTCATAAGAAACAACCAGGTCACACGAGAATAATCATCTACAAATGACACAAAATAAGTATATTTATTAGATAAAATATTCTTTATTAAACCTCATACATCAAAATGTACCAACTCAAATGGACTAGACATGATTATTAACTCTAGACTAAAAAGACACACGGTGATGCTTACTAAGTTGACAAGCTTTATAAGACATAAACGACACATAACTAAGACTGGGAACTTAGCGCTTCAGATTCTGGAGAGAGAAATGTCTAAAACGACAATGTCATTAAAAAGGAAACAACGGAGTCTGTAGAGCTCAAGTAGGTGAATCAAGGTCAAAGTAATATAGGCCACCAGTTTCATGCCCCGTACTAATCTTTAGGAACCATAAGAGTTGAGCATTCAACAGAGACATCTTGATCAATGCCTGAAGGACCAATATACAAAATAGCACACCGTAAACGAGAGAAAACCTCAAGCAGAGAGAGAAGAGTAGAACCATCCAAAATCTAAGAGCGAATAGACTTATATTCAGGTTTCAATCCTACTAAAAATCAAACAATATTCCAATCCTCATGTTGCTTTTGTCAAACTGCTACATTAGTAGTGAACAGATGATAAAACTTCAACTCCTCACAAATTTCCCGAACATGAGAGTAATAATCCTCGAGACTTAGAGTACCCTACTCCTCACAAATTCTCTAAACATCAATTTGACGTTGTCTGTGAGAAAAGACAAAATTTTCTACTACCTTACTACTCCATGGCAATCACAACCAGGTCGATGAATCAACAACCGGGAGTCAACAACCAGGAGACAACAACCCGGCCCCCCGAGAGGAGGTGCCACCTCCCCTTGCACCCTCAGAACCATCCACTGCCGCAACTCCCGTAGGTGGGCAACAACTTTTACAAACCATGAAGCTATTGATAAACCACAATCAACAAATCATTCAATTGATACTCACCCAAGGAGGCATCGCCTCTCAGCCTGTAGGAGAAGCACCACTCCCTCCGGCAAGGAAAGTATCGCAACCTCTCTATTCTGGGCGCCAAGCCGCCCCCCACCATGGAGCCCCGCTCTAGAGCGCTCCCAGCCAGCATGCCTCGCCCAGGAGTCCCTCCTCAACGTGTAAGAAGCTCACGTGTTCCCCCCCTTATATACCTGCGCAAGAGAACAAGGGAAAAATCAATATGCCGATCATGAAAGCCATTACAATGACCCGACAAAGGATTTCTTCAACCAATACGACGAGAAGATCAAGGAAGTGAAAAACTAACTCGATGACGCCATGAACGCCATCAAAGCACAGGCGCCCGAGACGGTGGATTACTTGGTAAGGTGCACTAATACCCCATTCGTTGCAGTTGTTGTCAGTTACCCCTACCCTCAATGTTCAAGATGTCTGCCATCAAGATCTTTGACGGTACCAAGGACCCTTAGGATCATCTCGACATGTGTAAGTCTCTCATGCAACTCCACAACATGCCTAATAAGATCATATGTAGAACTTTCACCACCACCCTGAAAGAGTCTGCTCGACAATGATTCGCAAAGATCAAGCCCTTTTTTATCCACTCTTTCGCGGAGCTAGGCAAATCCTTGATCTCCCACTTTATTGGAAGAAACCGGCATCAGAAGCCTGTTACCCCCACCTACTTACCATCAAGCAGGAAAGGGATGAAAGTCTCAGGAGCTACCTCACTCATTTCAACGAGGAGGCTCTCCAGATAGAGGAGCCAAACAATAAAGTAGCCCTAGCCGCCTTCATTACAGGTCTGCGCTCCTCTAGTTTTATGTTTTTCATCCTCAAGAAGCCGTCCTCCAACATGTTCGAGCTACTATCAAGGACACAAAAGTATATGAACGACAAGGACGTCATCAAAGCTCGGTGATATGAGTCCTCCCGAGGAAGGAAAAAAATGAAGGACACCCGTAAAGACAAGCACAAGGCAGAGAACAAGAGAAAGAAAACCGAGAGAGAGTCTCTGTTAAGGATCGTTTTGATCCCGTATCCCTGAGAGAACGATAGCCCTTCACGCCACTCAACGCCTCAATCTGCAAAGTCTCCAACTCCTTTGTCTTCTTCGCCTACTGATCCACCTTTTGGCTCACCACACCTCTCCATTTACATATCTCCCCACTAAAGCAGTCCTTATTAAATCCCTCTCAATAAACCTCTCCCAATCTTCAATGGAGATTCCAAATACCCAAAGAAAAAAAGTGGCAAGGAGGAAAGGGTAAAGTGGATTCTATAAATAATAGCCCCTTAAAACCCTAAGAAGAGGAAATGCCTTAAATTGGGAAAAAAGGGGTTTTGATGAGGAATCCTCTCCAACCTGATGACAGTACTACAACAAAAAGATATAGAGAGGTTCAAGCTCAGCGGAGACTCACCATAAGGAAGGAAAGCCAAAGTTGTGGATGCCTAATCATGGAGTTATCAGAAGCTTTTGTCATTGAGGTAAATGAAGAAACTACCATGGCAAAGAAGAAAACTTTTGGCCGTCTAACAGAGGAAGGTAACACCGTGAGGAACAAGAAATCCTTTTTGGGCAATGGGGCTCACTCATGCCCTCAAACCCTTTTTGCCACCACTAGGGCTTAGGGCATGGGGCAAATGACAAGCCCAGATTTAACTAGGTCAGACCCAATAAATCAAGTAAGTCCAAATCAGCTAAAAGACTGGTCAATCTCAGTTCGTGAATTCGACCCGACCCAGGATTCGAAGAAAAAGAATTAGAACACGTGAGAAGCAATTATCAGGATACTCACTCTCGAAGATCAAGACAACCTTTTATGACACTTATTTTTTTGTAACAACCCGGAGAATTATTACCTTTGCCCTCACATCACCACCTTAACCACTGTTCTGCGCCAATAAATTGTAAGCTCTCTCTATATGAGAGGACATTCCTTAATATCTCTTGAGATCTCTCTGCATCTCTCTTTACACAAATAACGTTTTTCTCTCCTAACTATTGTATCCCTCCCAAAATTAATCATTGTTCTCTCATTCACTTTATTTTATCAATAAAAGTCTTCTGGCTACCATTGCCGTTTTCTAAAGAGGAGTAGGTCACTCAAACCGAACCACTATATATCTGTATGTTGACCTGATATTTACATTATTACCATTGATTGCTCTATTAAATATTCATTAATTATACTTTATCACACACTCGATTGTTAATCTAGCACGAGACTATTTTGTGTATCATCAATAATCATAAATTTTGATTTAAATGAATTGTAATGCTTGATTCAAAGCAAGACACTCATAAAATTATTTATTTTATTATTTTCACAATCAGTGATTATGAACAAATCAAAACACAATTTTTGGCTCACAAAAAAATTTGGTATAATACAATTTCAATACTATTGTGATATAGTAACAACTATATTTTTTTTCCTATTTATACATTGGATATGTATGTATTATTTTACAAAAATTATGGATAATAGTGGAATTTAGACTTCTAAACTTTAATGACCGAATCAACTTCGCGAGAAGTTGAAAAGCTCCGTTTTCAGAAACTACCGAAAGAAGCTCCTTCAAAACGTGCATCTGGAAGATGCACTTACCGCAAAAGTCACTTTTTGATGGTGCATCAAACGGTGAAAGCAACGGCAGAAGCACTTGCATCCATAGGAAGCCCATTTTGATTGTCAGCCAAACAGACCCGTAATATTTTTTGAAAGTCTATCACAAGAAGTCCATTTGTAAAGTCCATTCTACAAATCGACTTTCATTTTGAAAAGTTATGCCAAATGCAACCCTTATTTGTTTGAGAAGTGCTTCCATTTACGGGATGGACTTTTGAGTTGTCCAACAAATACACCCTAAAATCATCAGGAAGCGCAATTTACACTTCATGCTTTAAACTAGTAGTGGCACAAATCCTGAATTAGGTAACAAAGAATTATGTAGATATTCACATACCAGGGAATATATTTGACCGGGAAGCCATCAGCTTCAGTGCGAACTCTGACGAGGGAATCGGGAACTCTCTTGTTGAGTTCTTTGAGTATTTCTGAGAGTGGTCTGCTTAGTCCAGATGTGGGAGTGGCGTCGTCGTCTTCTTGTGGTATTTCGTCAGAGGCCACCACACTCTCTTCTTTTTCTGTCATCCTATTAAGACCATAAGAAGAAGAAGGCTTGGCAGCGAACCAACGGCACGAAGAAGAGTTTCGCGACACCGATTTTGCGAGTGATCCTACCAGAGACGACGCCATAGGTATATTGGGAAGTAGCACACAAGTCGCAAAACCAATGGCCCTTCTCAAGAGTTTTGCTGAGTTTTTCCGGGTAAGGCTCCCTCCAATTCGACTGATCCTACAATTTTAAGGATCGATTTACGTTAGTTTAAATTTATTTTAACAAGAAAAAATTTGTTCACATCAAAATATTCTTAGTGAATTAGAGCATCCTCTAATTATTTAAGAATCAAAGAGGAATCAAACTCAATTTTTCTAATCATGGGGGGGGGGTAATTTAGTGGTTCCACTGTGCCGAGATGTGAGGTGCAGGTGGTGATGATCACCCCGGGGTATGCGCTATCGCCCTTGGCAGGCACTCCAGAACAAAAAGATTCTTGGATTCCGTCCTTCCCATGCTTCAGAGGTTTAAGATTTAATCTCATCTTACACTTTTTAAGAACTAATCATCTTTATTCATTTAGAGATATGTTTTAACCTAACTCAACAGTGGCCAATTTTTTAGTAAAACCAAAAAAACTCAATTTTTTTTCCATTCCAAACCACTTTCAAACTCTTTTCTCAATCTCACGTAATTTTGATAAATGGGATTATAAATAACTTCTTCTTTATAAAAACCATGTTTATCATATACAACATCACAAACTAATTTTTATGCCTTAAAAAGTTTGTTATTTTTAGGATGGGAAACTCGATGTGGATCTTCCTTCATGATTACGCAAGTGAAGTAATAGGCACTTTACCTAAAGGTGGGTGAATAAGTTTTTTAATTTTAGCTCAATTAATTACTAATAAAAAAACGTAAACCACCATAATTACTTATTCTCACAAAGAATGTGAGAACCCCTTTATTCACTGCCCCAAAAAATCATGACCATTGATTTTATTTAATCTTGAATTTTTTTTTTTTGGTGAAAAAAAGGGGTGGGGGCAAGGAAGAGCGTCCAGCGCCCACCCTGTTAGACCATCACAGGTGGGATCATAAGGCCCCTGACCATGCTTGGAACACTTCTAGGGACTAAATCTAGTTAGGTTAGCATAGTAGTCAACTACCGAGCCCTAATGAGGACTTCAAGACTCGAACTTCTAACCTCAAGGTGAGGAATTAGGTCGATACCACCACTAGACCACCCTACTCAGTGGTAATTAATCTTGAATTAATTTACTCACAATCAATATTACAACGATCCTAATCCCAAATTTGCACATTATGGTTGAATAGATAGTCAATCAATCAATTCAACAAACACATAGTACACGTATGTGCTCACAATAACAAGTGTATATGAAATATGCAAGCTCATTTTAGGATTTTTCCCATAAATCCTCCTCGGAAAAAATCACAGGGAACCTTTTTGGTTCACCAAAGCCTAATCCACTAGTCATTAAGTCAACATACAATTACTCGAAGGTGTTTAAACTTGAGAAGGATAGATAGATAAGCTTCTAAATATTTTTAGGTCAAAATAATATCACCATTGAATTCAAAAAATCGAAAAACCTTAGAAGAGGTTATATATGGTGTATTAGAAGTAAAGAAGTATTCTGGAGTTAAAGAGTATTTTAGAAAAAATTCGGGTAAGAAAGAATTTGACACTATTCAGAATTCCGATTGAGCTAATTTTTGGACAGTAGAAATTATACTTCAAGGGCTACAAAAGTGTAATTCACGAAAATTTCGTACTGTCCAAACACCCCCAGAACCGTCCAGAATCCTCTCTAAAAATGACCCTGGTTAGTTTTTAGGGTTTTCTCCATTCTTCACCCTAAAAATACCATAAGGACATCCCTTTAACTATGTTTCATTAGTTTTCAATCCTAAACAACCCTAGAGGGCGAGAGCGAAGGAGAAAACACAAAAGTCGAAGGGATTCTTGCATTGAGATTAATTCAAACACGTTAGGGCTATCTTTAAACATCGGAGTAAGGTGGGGGATTCTTCTCAAGTTCTCTCATTAAGACTTAGGCTATTATTTATATATGTTTTGAAAGTTCTTGACTATTATATGTTAAATAACTGTTCGTTCTTGATTCTTTTTCAAGTAACATGTGATTTTTAACTAGATACATGTCTTGCGTTCAAGAAACATTGTTCTTGAATTTTCAAAACCCTAGTTTTTCCTAAACACATGTTTATTGTGAAAGACTTATTGCTTCTTGAATTCTAAAATTCCTATTATTGATTAAATTAGGTTTGCAAATAACTTCTTCTTCTTCTTCTTGTTCCAACAAATTGTGATTTTTGGCAAAACCCTAAATTTTGGATATCGAAATTGTAAGGTTCTTGTTATGATCTCTAGCATATTTTTATTCTTCTTATTATTATTAAGTTTATTAGGAACTGTGAAATTGTAATATTTGAATTTTTATTGTGATTGATTATGATTACGGTTGTTGTGAAAATTGTGGTTTCATTTCTTATATGATTTGGGTGTGACAGACTTGAATTACCTTCAAGAGCTATTGTAGAGTATTAGAGGTTAGTTTATCCCAATGGGGGTAAAATGGTTGTCTAATACTTGTAGTGGATTGTTATTTATGAGAGTAACTATTATTGTTACATAAGTTCGAGACTAAGGGATGATATACCTTTCCTGAGAAGGATTTGTCAATATTGTGTGAAATCAGTGTACGTCATTCCTAAAGTGATTTTGTGATTTGTCCATGAGGGAAATATTTGAGATTGTGAGTTTGTAGAGGGTGAACGAGGTAGTATTGTTGTGTAGATTCTTGAAAAGCAACCAACATACATGAGACTATGAGATAATGTTACTGAGTTGTTTATTTATTGATTTAATCCTTAAATGTTATTCTTGCTATGGATTTATGGTATTCCGTACACTTGAGATCATTATAATTGTCATGATTTTAATTTTAAAGTTTATTATTTTAAAACCTTATTTGGATTTAAGAATGATCTCCTACGGGCTTTTGTTTTTTTTTTTAAGAAAAAAGAAAATTTTATTAATTAAACTCAAAATTACAAGAAGCAAATCAAAAACTATTTTAAGACAAAACAGTAACTGAATTTACAAAAAATGAAAAAACAGAAAAATTGTATACAAACAAATTTCCTATTTTTGTAATCTTTGAACTGCCATCTATGCCTTTGCCAAAACTACTAAACCAGCTAAAGATAAACCAGTTGGAGCACAACAAAATCTCCTTTCAAAAGACACAACAATATCAGCATTCATCAGATCAGCAAATTGCAGCACCTCTTGCTAACTACTCAACCAGAAGGGAAAACCACTAACCAGAGCAACATCTGAACAGTAGCTCATCAGCTCCAAATCAAGCTCATCAACTCCAAATCAGCTCCTCCACCATTCAACTCAGGTCCTGTACTGATACAAAGAGAATCTGCCACCAATAATTGGCTTTAATCAGTAAATGGATTTTGATCCTATAGCATAGCCCAGCTCCTACCTTGTCTAATCACTTCATTGCAGCTTCAAGCCAGCTCCTTCATCACATCTCACTTTGATACCTGATGCATAAGGAACTATCCACCAAGAATTGGCTTTAATCCTACAACAGAATTAAAGCCCTTAATTCAGCTCCTGAAAAATTCCTTCATATCCCACAGTTGGCTTTAATCGTAAGGGCTTTTGTTCGCCCTTACAATAACACTTATAGATTTTGGTAGAGAGGAGTATGTTAGTATAAAACTCAGGTAAATTTGAACCTTTTATGAGAAAGAGTAAAACGATAAATTGCCACTACGTGCGGGTTGAGGACCCTTATTTTTCTAGAGCTCGGATGACAAAATGGATCACATCGTTAGATTCGTCTCGCGAAATTTAGTTACCCAAATAAATTTCGTCGAATTTCGAGATAGTCGAATTTTTCGTGTTTTACGAGGCGGTCGGGTCTCAGGTGGCCCAAAAATGAAACTTTTAATAAAATTTTGAAAGTTAAAAAATAATTAAAGCAAGTTGAAATAAAAATATTTGACCTTGAACCGGAGCAAAATTTAATCATTTTTGGGTGAAAACAGACTTAGGAATAGGGGACACATGGCGTGACGTGGACCAAGCGTTCAATGGTATAAATAGGAGTCAAAAAATCTGATTTTTTCATAAAAATCTCTGCTGATTCTACTGGGTTCACGTTGGAAGAGAGGAAGAGGGGGAAAGGAAGAAAAAAGTAAAGATTCAAGACTTCTCTTTACAATCTATAGAGTTTCGTCGGTCGAAATTCTTCGAGCCAAGAATTAAAGTCGATCTCCTTGACAAGGGCTATGCAACCATACCAAAAATGAAGACTTTCACCAAAGATACAAAAAAAAAATTTTTGGAAAAACTTGGATTAGAGCTTTGGTTGAATTCTTGAAGCTTCCTACATTGATTTTACGCTTGAAGAGGTAGGGTTTTCATCCTACTTAGGTTTATTTTTAACCTATGATGATTGTGTGAAATGAGTAGGTTGTTAGATTTGATTTAACAAATGCCTATTGTATTTGAAATGTGAAATGGGTATTGAAAATGGGGAGAATAAATTATATCTTGACTTGAATAGATAGAAATTGCTAGATTGTGATTTCTTAGATTTTTGATAATTGGGTATGTAGAAATCACTAAATATGATTTTTTTTTTTTTTATGTGATGATTATGGGCATTTTTATGTGATAACAAGATTTGGTGCCTTGAAGGTGTTTGACTAAATGCCTATGTGAAAATTAAGCGTGTTATTTGCTTAGATTATGTTGGACATGCTTAGGAAAAATTGTTGTTAAATGTGAATGTTGGTATATGCTTATGATATATTGGCATTGTGATGACTTTATAGAAGTTATATGCTTTGGATATAATTTGCCATGAAAATGTTAATTTTGGTTAAATTAGTCCATATGACATTCATTACATATGGGGCATGATATTAATATTGTAATGGTTCATTACATTGCATAGTTACGGAGACATCACATTTGGTGGGTGGGTATTGTGCATGGTTTGATCAAACATCATTCTTGGTGGATGATACTTGGGCTCGGGGAAAGTTGGATCGAAGATTC